GAGGGTCTCGTACTGGCAGACTTGGTGTGTTTAGGTTGTATAAGAGGGACAATTAATCAGCTGCCCGCTCATAATAAGTTCACGTGCTACGTGACGCCAAACATGCGCATAAGAGTGTTTCACACTCGTTGTTTGGCTTATAGATGGCGCTGACTGTCGCTCCTACTTCTAAATTCACAGATAAACCCAAAAAAGTGGATGGAGGGAGTGCCGCTGTAATAGCTCAGTGGTTAGAGCATCGAACGCGTAATTCGAAGGTCGTAGGTTCGATTCCTGCTTACAGTTGGTAATTTTTTCATCCACTTTTCTTTCTTCTTATTTACATTCCATTAATGTTAATAACTTCCCCTGTACATTCCTTGGCATTACTGTCTGTTATATCTCATTATTATTGTGTTAAAAACACGGAAAAACGAGCCCTTAAGTATACACTTCTTTCCCTTATATATATATATATATATATATATATATATATATATATATATATATATATATATATATATGAGGCCTAACAGACCATAACGCTAAGGAAAGTATAAAGTATAGGGGAAGTTATTCGATGGAATCATAATGTAAATGTGAAGAAGTGGGTGAACCGTGGCCAGGAACCGAACCTGCGACCTTCGAATAACGCGTTCGATGCTCTACGACCTGAGCTACCACGGCGGCCATCCTCCCAACCAATTTATTCAGTATATATTTTTGAATTAAACGTGGGAGTGTCAGTCAGCGCCAACAGTAGCCAAGACGGTGAGTGTGGCACACTCTTTATGAGCCTGTTCGGCGTCATCAATAAAAATTTAATAGTTTCGAGGTGTGAGGTTAAACTTCCATATCCCCCCCCTCCTTCTTGGCTACTTTACTGCGTGAAGTATTCTTGCGTAATGTCCGTGTTATGCGTTGTGACATGAATGTGTCTGCGATTATCTTGCTGCTGTTATACTGTTTGGCATTAGGACTATACTGCACAGCATTAGGTCACAGCTCGATTCCCAGCCGCATTTCTATTGAGCCAAACTACGAAAAATCCCGTACTGCTAGTTTGCGTACACATTAAAGAACCCCAGTTTATGTTCAACTTGGCCCACACCAGTTGGCCAAGCTTGATTCAGTGTCATCCCCGGAATCGAATGATTTTGCAGGGGACAACTTGTTTTGGATATGCGTTATATCTCAGGTGCAGAGCTTTGCGAGTTTGAACTCATGTCCTAAATGGACAGGGTCACTTGTCCTAAGCCGTCAACACAATATGCGCCATCTAATTTAGGTTGAAATCACTCATTTGTTTGTTTTCATGCTCTCTGGACCACACGCCGGGTGGAATTTCCAAGTTTGTGTTTGCGCTCACTGTGTTCCTTTCAACTGTCATCTGATATCAGCGCTCGATCAGGTATAAGGCCGAGCCGAGTAAAGCACTGATCACTCAATTTTCTTGAGGCCGGAGCTTATCTCTCGTTACGTGCGCGCTTCTTACAGCTGGCTATGCACCCACCACATTATTCTGAGGCATTCTCCTCAACCAAGTATGCGCACACCGTGGATAGAGTCGATAACCCTACCGCGCGACTGGAAGGTCAACGCGAGCTACAGAGCATCGTGCAAAGAAGGCAGTGCCCATCGGAGTCGATCGACGCGGGGGCGTTTCCACATCGCTCCGTATATATATATGCCCGTATACAGTGGGCGTATTGCACAAAAGGTCAAACTAAAGCGTCACGTAGGTCGGACTGCTGCCATGATTCCACATCTTTATTCTTTTTTTTTTTTCATTTCTACCATCCACGCTCGTGCAAACTTTGCGCTGCGCACAGAGATTTCGGCACGGCGACCTGTTGCCCTAGCTGTTCTTACACTGGCTGTAGCGGAGGCGCACGTGCTTTGCGGCTGGAAACGCGGCAGCCGGCGCATCCCCTCAGTCACCTCGCAAAAGGGTCAGGCGAAGGCAGCTCACCGACAGCCCGCGCAGAACTCGTGGGCCGTTTGACCCGGGCTGCTACCAAAGGGAGAAGTTCTCCCTCCTTCTCAGTCATTCCTGTAAAAAAAAAAAGGAAGGGGGGGGGGGGCATGGTTAAATAGACAAATTCTTGCGATGGCCCCCACGCATGCACCATCGTAACGGCAGTCATGGCCCGATCGAGGGTCCGCGGTGCCCTGGCAGTTTGTCTTCGCCAGGTTCGTGTAAAGCGAGCTCGGTTATTTGGCCTAAGCGGCCTGTCACGGTTCTGTAATATGATCGAAGAGAGGTTATTTTTCCCCGACAAGGAAGAAAAGAACATCTAAACAAAAAAAAATGGCAGACGACTTATTTACCGAGCTGACCGATCTCGCGCAGCTCCATTAGACGCGCCCGCGGGTAACAAATCGGTGAGCACGACTTCCGATCCGATCGCGAGCTGCCCGTGTGTATTGCTAAATACACGCGAATCGGAAGGCGCGAGAGCAGGGAGCCATGGCGCCAACCACTGACGGAATCAGTGATGTGTGCGTATGGCCAGGAGCACAGATTGCGCGCACCAGATCGCCAGCCGGGTGTACGAGCGTGTATACGCGAGCGTGTAAAATAACCGTCTCACGTTCCGCCGCGCTAGCACAGTTGCTATCGGTCCTCACGCGTGCGTGACTGTATAGGCTAGACTCGAATCACTGCACGTTAATACCTTTGTAGGTCAAACTGACCGTGAAAATGCTTAACCGCATGCTTTATATAGCCCGTTTATCTCCTCGTTTTAAAGTAAATAAAGTCGATATAGGCTTATCGTTGTAAAATGTAGTGATTGAAAGATATCAGCGTTATTCGTGAGTTCATTAAAACGCACTGGATCTCCCGCGATTTATCGAATTTGTCTGGCTTTCGGCTTTCTTTAGGACACACTAATATATGTATATATATATATATATATATATATATATATATATATATATATATATATATATATATATATATATATATATATATATATATATATATATATATATATATGTGTGTGTGTGTGTGTGTGTGTGAAGAAAGGTATGGAGGTTAACCAGAAAGCAAGTAGCTCCGCGGAAAGCATATTTCAGGCGTTCACCTGCATGGACGGAAAAAGAAGATATCACTAATCACGGAGGTCTCTGCGGTCCTGTTTGCTTGTGAGTGTCGTTACAAGGAGAGGATCGGGGCAAAAAGTCCCCACCAATCATGCGATCACCGCTTTCATTCAATTACCGCTAGGGAATAATATCCTGACCTTCTTAAACCATACCGAGACCTCAAAAAAGTTTGTTGTTAACTTCGTTAGGGCTGCGTAAAGTTGAAAGATACATGATGTTTGGTTTGCAATGTTTCGCTGAAGAGAAAAGAACAAGGTTGATTGCTGAACCAACCCGTATCGCGCCGTCGTGTCGAAAGACGGCTCCACGGCCATTCAGCACCGTCATCTATATAGGTGTGTGTAGACAGGCGAGAAGAAACAGCTCAGGAAAGACGGGTCTCTCAAATTTAGGGTCTGTCGCTTTAGAAGGTGAAGGGCAACACGGTGCTCTGCGTGAAGAAGGAAGCTCGTGGGCCATCTGCGCAGCTACCGGGGTAACGGACGCCCTATCAGTATGCGAGAAGGCGCGTTTCTTTTAAAAGTCAGATTTAGCTTCACCAATGTTTGTTTGTTGTTTTTGCTCTTGATATTCCCCAAATCTGAAACGGTGTTGAAACACGCACGACATGTTTACTACTAGAGTATGACGAGGACAGCGAAAGAAAATATAAACACGAATAACAACAAGGGCGGCGTCGCAACTGCGACACGCTGTCGGATCTAAGAGACTTCCGTGTGCGCGCTGCTCGCGGGGCAAATATTGCGCAGTGCACGCATAGTACGAGAAATGCTGCAAAAAAAGTGGAGACGATTGAAGCTCCTTCCTGCTGAAACTCGTAGGCCATTGCCTATATTCTCGCTCCAACCTGCGATTAACTACAGGCGGAAAAGGTAGCTCCATGTATGCGCGAACAAGTAACGCCTTTTGCGCCTCGTGCCATCACCTTCCTGAAAATTTCATCTGATAAGAACATACCTGTATGACACCGCATATGTTACATAAAAACCCATATTATCGGTTGCGTTTATCAATACTTTCGAAATTGAAATATCAATGACTTTAGTCCGGTCCAGCCATACCATACGGCCAACTTGAAGGTGCTATAAAGAACGAGCTGTAAAGTTTTAAGTTTCAAAATCCATACGAGATAAGCAATCCTGCAATAAGCCCGCAAAATGTGACTTTCTCTTTTCATTTCTCTGTCTCACAGTGAGATATTCTGCGTGAACCATGCCTTATCCGCTTTTTTTTTTTCCTTCCGCTACATGACAGAGGAATTTTCGCATACGTTGGATGAAATGAGAGTAGTTGCGTTCATGAAAGAACCTTTCATACTGTCATTCTAGTGCTTCGTTCTGTCAACACTGTCAACATTAAGACTAACTGCATGACAGGTTCAAAGTTTTTATAGACCAGGGCAAGTGGCCAGGGAACTTTTCATAATTAAAATGCCAATTCAGCCAAAGTGTGCGACTCCCTATACTCACGCCCATGCGATGCCCTCTATAAGGCTCAGTGGGCATTGGCAATCATGCCACCCTATGCGGCGAAGCCTCACTCTGTATTGCCGTATAGGGTTGCGTATAGTATGAACCTTGTGTAGTCTTCGTGATACCGTTTCAGTGCGTGCATTTCCCAGGCGCATCTTGCGTGCGGAGAGAACAGCGAACACACGTCATGTTGACAGCATGCAGTGACTTTCTAACATCATGTTCTGAGTACATACAAATATTGTGTGATTCCTCCATCAAATTATCTCCATAAAAGTTTGCTCGAGAACCCAGTGGTCTATCTTGTTTTCAAAGAAAAAAAGATATAAAAGCAACGTAATTGGATTGTGTGCGTGCAATATGTGTGCATCGTATACAAACTACAAGAAGTAGATTACGACGGCTTCACGAAAGTAATATTATAAAAATATAATAATAATAATAATAATAATAATAATAATAATAATAATAATAATAATGTTATTATAATTATAATAATAATGTTACTATTATTATTATTACAAAGCTCCATGTCCCAAAACTATCAATACGAAAAACGCCATAAGGAAGGTTTCCGGAAATTTCGACTATTTGGTGTTCTTTAACGTGCACTAACGTCACACAGTACATGGGCCTCAATAATTTTGCCTCCTCCTAAATGTGACTGCCACGGCAAGGATTCATGAAAATGTTAACACAGGAGTTTCCGAAGCAGCTATATCACGAGGATGTTCTGTACATCTATAGTATGCAATTATAACGAAAATACATTGAAATTTTCAAACACAAAGCAAATAGAAACCAACCCATTTCAGAACTGCAATCACGAAACAACAACGAAACATGTCAAATAAGCATGAAAATTTGCAGTACCAGTTGCTGTATTTCAAGATGCATTGTAATACACAGCGTATTGCATCGTGCAGCGTACGGGATGATTAAACACGGCTTCATTTCCGTCTCGCAGGTGTGGGCCAAGGAGATCGACAAGGCTCAGGACCTGCAGCAGGAGGAGACGGCCCACATCCCGGCCGAGCATCGTGGGGGTGGTGGCTACGAGCCTCCCGAGCCGCCGCAGCAGCGGCCGCACCACGAGGCATCAGCGGGGCACGTGGCCGCCGTGCCAATCATCCCGATACACGATCACCATGGTGATCACCACGGTGACCACCATGCGGTTGCAGCCGTGGGACCGCAGGACCCGGGTGACCCGTGGCCATTGGGACGACCAGACATGCCACAGATCAAGAGCCTCAATGTCAAGTGCGAAAAGAACCATATGAAGGTATTCCTCGAGTTCGATCGACCATTTCATGGCATGATCTTCAGCAAGGGACACTACAGCGACCCTAAGTGCGTGCACCTGCCGCCGAACACGGGACACATCGCCGTCAACTTCGACATATTTCTGGGCAGCTGCGGCATGTCCAGTAGCCAGCAGGGTGGCTACGACAACCTCGGCAGTGGCGTGTTCATCGAAGACACCATCATAGTCCAATACGACCCACAGGTGCAAGAGATCTGGGACCAGGCGCGTCGGCTACGTTGCACTTGGTACGACTTCTATGAGAAGGCAGTCACTTTTCGTCCCTTCAACGTCGACATGCTGGACGCAGTGACGGCCAATTTTCTCGGAGACAACATCCAGTGCTGGATGCAGATCCAAGTGGGCAAAGGACCCTGGGCCAGCGAGGTTGCTGGCATTGTAAAAATAGGCCAGACCATGACCATGGTGCTGGCCATCAAGGACGATGAGAACAAGTTCGACATGCTGGTGCGCAACTGCATCGCGCACGATGGCAAGCACCAGCCTATCGTGCTGGTCGACGAATACGGATGCGTAGCGCGCCCCAAGATCATGAGCCGCTTCCAGAAGATCAAGAATTTCGGTGCCTCGGCGTCGGTCGTGTCATATGCCTACTTCCAGGCCTTCAAGTTTCCGGACTCAATGAACGTGCACTTCCAGTGCGTCATCCAAGTGTGTCGCTACGAGTGTCCAGAGCCCAAGTGCGATGGGGACGCGGCACTGGGCGGCCACTACCTGCCGGCACCTCGCGACCCATCGTCGGCGTACTCGGAGCAGAAGGCGCACTTCGTCAAGCCGTCTGAGTCGCAGAAACAGACCGTCTCTGTGACCAAAAAACAAGGCGCGGTCACTGTGTCGACTGACCCGCCAAAAGAGAATCCGCCACCCGTATTTTATAACAGACAGGGTGAGCAGCTGCCAAGCGACAACGACGTGGTGCACTCGAACACGGGCTACGCAATCGCGCACACGGGTGGCATGCCACGCTCGCATGACGCTCGGCGACGCCGGCGAGAGGTTGGGGCCGACGCGACCGACATCCAGACCCAGAAGGTCATTCAGGTGGTGGCGCCGGGAGACGTCGCCTTCAACCTGCCTACGGGAGACAACGACACCCTAGTAGATGTGTACAGCAGCCGCTCCGCGACAGCAGACGGAAACATTTGCATCTCGCTCCCCGGCTTTGCTGCGGGTCTGATCGTGCTCCTGCTTCTGCTCATCGTATCCATGTTGGTAGCCTCGTTCCTCTTCGTACGCGTGCGCCACATTGCGAACAGCAAAAACCACGACCAGATCATCTCCTACGACAGCCCCGAGTTCGTCAAGGTGGCCATCACTCCACAGTGAAGACGTCACGTTTCTCGCCAGTGCTGCGATTCTTGCGTGTTCTACGGATGCTCCCACCGCACAAGCGTTAGCGTGGAACACGCAGGCCCATCGCGAACGACAGGCCGTGGGGAAACGTGAGGGCTTGTGGCGTGAGTTTTGGTGTGGCACCTGCCTCAAACTGAGTAGGAAGAGCAATGCGACTGAGCTGACTGATCTGCTGCGAAAGTATCACTTGGCCAGTCGCATTTAGACTAACATTGTCAAACATAGCGGTGAGGAATAGTCCCTCTTCTTGCCATTGCCTTACGTCACGTGACTAGCAGGCAAGCAGAGCCAGCCAAATGGTTCACGAAAGGAACGCATATGAGGTCACGGCAGTTTTATTTCTTTTCCCCCTCTGTGGTGTCAAATGCCATACGGCCACGAGAATATTATTTGCTTCGGGCATTGCTCTCAGAAGACACTGCATTACGAAATGACATTCATCCATTGCTGTATGCAATTAGGCCCTCATCATCGCTCTTTGCTGCAGATATACAATCTTATAGCTTACATTACTCCCCCTTTACCCAGCTTCTACACCACGTACCTCACAAATGTTCATAAACATTTTTTTTCTGAGACTAGAAGCTGATGCAACCGTTAAATGGGGAGCTGTGCTTTGATACAAAAATGGCAGAGCGAGTTGTAATATTCTGTGAACACAGCGTGTGATTTTTGCAAAATCAGTGAGAGCGTCATAAAAAGCGATCATTTTCTAGAGCTTATAAAGCAAAATGGCTACTAGATATAATGTTGTCTAAGATGTGCGTCATTAGCGCCGTTTTGTGCTCAGGTACGTAGGCAAAGCGTCTCGGCTGTTCTGGAAACAGCGTAGCTGCGTGCGTCAAGTTAAAGACGTCGGCTTCAGTTTCGCAGATGCCAGATCTTCATGCATTCAGGAGAATATTAGTCATCCATTGACTCCCACGCGCCGACGTATGCTTCCTATACACCCCTCCCCCCCACCCTTTTTTCTAATCTCCTTTTGTTGTATAGGCGTCCGATATGGCACGCAGTGTGCGATGCGATAGATTCGCAGTCTTGCCTGTCCGCGCTTCTTTTTTTGTAACATATTTATTTCGTGTTGGTAATACCACCATGATATTTTGTTGTTGCAAGCGTACGCATGTATCCTGTTGTTGAAGTTGATGGACACTAATCGTCAATAGTGTAGCACCGTGGGACCTGGACTCTTAGTTTTACGGCCTTCTTACTTGAATGCATTGTCCCTGAATGTGTGTGTCTGTGCGTGCTTCTTTGTTAAACGCTTTCCTTCTTTGTTTCTCGCCAAGTTTTAAGCCAGCGGAATGTGCGGCAACTTATTTTTTTTTTTTGCATGCTGGAAAGAAAAGACAACAAGTGCGTGGTTTTTTCGGCGCACTTGAAGGTACAGCCATCCAGTGAATGGACCTTTAAGAGCACGGATTCAGGTGAACGTCACAACAAGGCCCACTTCAGGTGGGGCCCCTCCAGATGCCGGGCCGGAGTTAGTACTACAACTGCATTGCGCCATTCCACGGATTCCAAGCCACACGGGTTTCGAAGAGTCATCGTTGCCCCTGAGCCTTACCAGGCACCCCAAGTTTCTCAATCATTTGCCCTGGCATTCTCTCCGTCCTACACACGTGTGACTATAGACGGCCTGTTATTACCGGTGAAACAACCACCCGAGGATACCGCTTTTGTCTTCGTCTCACGGGGCATTGTATGTCTCTATTCGTGGCGTTATATACAAAAATTGAATGAACACACTGTCCCAGTCACACTTATTTGGTGCGCTTATATTGCCCATGAATGGCTTGTAGAAGGTAAAGGCACTGCACTTGGGTGTGGAAGTTTGTTTTTACTTCTTGAGCAAATGGCGACGCCTTCTCTTCACTGCTAACAGCTGCTCGAAAAAAAATTCATGTTTTTAACTCTCAACTGACAGGAAAGAATAGCGAATCTTTAGCAAGTGTGATAGGGATGACGGAGGAAAAAGTTTCTGCTTCTTTGCCATGCAAGGAAGTACGGGTGTGGTCTTCGAAAAGAACCGCGCAGCGAGTTTTCCTGCAATGTACCCAGTCAACTCACCTTCTATACAGCTTCTGATTTTCTCTTTCTCTTTTTTACCTATGTATCTGCCCATGTTGCACCATGCATTCAAATGTCCTGCGGTATGAAATTTTCTCTCTGTGGTGCTATACAGAGAAGAAAACTCGGCTTGGTGGGAATGATGTTTAAGTTCTTTGTTTTGTTTCTTTTTTTTAAACAGCCGCACGTGCACTTTAAAATGAGTTTGCAAGGTTTGTAACATGTCTAGGTTGTCACAATGCCCAGTCGAGCACTGCTATTTTTTTTTTTCGCTACGAGCATACGAAAACACGGTATCTTCTTAGCGCCATGATGTGGTGACGAATGATTTTTAATAAACGTAGAGACAAATGACTGCACTGACTTTTTTTTAATTTTATGCTCCTATGGGCATACGGCTACCGGAGTCACTGTACCCAAGGCACAATTCCCAGACCAACGGAGTTATGCCTTGAACGCCTTGATACGCGCTCTGTAACGTTTGAATCTGACTCCATGCATTTATGTTCGTTGTAGAAATTGTAGAATGCAAGGTAAGGATGAAATGAAAACCTTTGTTTATCTGGTCTTTCAGGCTGAATTTTCGCTGTGTTCTACTGGTGGTAATTAATGTAACACAGCCCCGAATCCGTGCTTTCTCTACTTCTCAGAGTGCGTCATTGCGTAAAGGTCCTCGCGATTTTCTTTGTCAAAAGTTTGTGTGTCTATGTGTGAACACTGAAGCCATTCTGCTTGTTCTTTTGCTGTGAATTTTACTTCTGTAATGCTTGCGTTGGCGAATTTCTCTCATATTTGAAGGATCCAGACCATCGGAAGCGTAAGCTTTTTCACACCTCTGCGCTCCCGTATATTGTGAGCAATTCAAGTTCACCAACTATTTCGGCAGTCTCCGGCCTTCTCTGCTCTTCATGAGAGCCTACTCCAGCGCGCAATGGTCTTGCTGGATTTCTGTAGCTCTTCAGAGGGATAACTGACGCGAACGCTACTAAAACTTCAAAAATCAGAGGAAGATGTGTGTATACAGGCGTCTGACGACTCACGCAAGCAGTACAGTTATTAAGTTACGGTCACACGAGACACAAAAAAGTAGTAGAGATAAAACGGCAAAAAAAAGGGGGGGGGGGCACACCCGAAAGACTAACGGCGTGTATTCGCCTATTTGTAAGTATGCCGTCGTATTTGAGCCATTTTACCTTTCCTAAGTATTAAATAACTCGTCCAAGCAACCGTTTTAACAAAGATTATTCTGTAGAGTTAAGATCCATCGTTGTATGATTCAAATGCGTGGTATAAGTTACTGTGTGGTGCAAAGCCGTTATTACATAATGAAAAGAAATACTGTGTGTTTCTCATTCGGCGCGATGATGGCGCTGCTGTATATAGCAGGTTTTTTTAGGCTGCATAGAACAGCGTCAGCATGTACTTACACTGAACCACAAGCGGCTCGTGGTCACGTCCGATGGATTTCATCCGCGTCATCAACGTGGCCGCGGCGCTGGCGTCGGAAATGGGCCCGCGGCCGCGGATGAGAGCGGGTCCCGAAAAAAAGACGAACCAGCAGAGCGTGCCGACTGCTGCCGCCGCGTGCTCAGCTCGCATGCGGGCTGCGCGAGACGACGTGCGGGTTAACGATGCGGAACGCTCATCCGCTTCGCCCCGTGCGTTCCAATGGGCGAGTTTCGGGGCTAAAGAAGAGAACGGCCCCGATGAGACGCCAGACGCTTTTCTCCTCTGAGTGCCTCTTTCCCTTCGTTTCCCCGAGAATCGCACTGCCTTTGGGCACAGTTGCCCCCTCCTTTCAGCCCTCCCCCAACCCTCCAGCAAATATGTGTACGTGCACAACAACACCAAAGCAGAGACGCCCTCGTTTAAAGCGTGGTACGTCAAGCGCGCGCTCGCCGATGCCGCGTGATTTGGGCGGACGTGCATCGCATTTCACGCACAGGGGCACGAGCCGCGTTGTCAGCGCGCGCGAACGTTGTGTGAGAGCAATGCGACTCGCGATAAAGAAACTATGGGTGCAACGAAGGCTTCGGCGCCTTCAAGTGCATGCTTCAGTGCGGCGGACAGTGTATAAAGCTCATACCATGGCGTCCTCATTGAGCCTAGGGAACCATATGCCAGTCTACCTCAGCAAATTAAGAAAGGCGGTTATACTCCAACGTATCTGAAACAGCAGAATACCACAAATAATTTGATGACATAATGAAATTGGCGCCTGCAGACCATTCAATAATTTCGTGTTCATCGAGCTGTTTTGGCTTGCCAAGTGAATCCTAATGGTCGAGAAGAAGTGATCTCACGTGCTTGATGGCGGTGGTTTTCAAGCACTTGTAGTTCGCGGTTCAAGGGCTATAAATACGAAGAATTCGCAGTAACTGGAACAAAAGCGTTACATTTGTATATAGTTGATCAATGTCATTATAGATTGCTGGTGACAGCAAGGAGAACCACGTGACCAAGACGTCATTGCATAAGCAGCGTTCTTATATTGGCCCGTGAAGCAGCACAGTATGCAAGAAAGTATAGCAAATGCTGGTAGGAAGTATGGTAAAAAATTATTTATAACAAGAAAAAAAGCGGATAAAGAATGAAAGAATATTGCAGTTCATTCAGCAGACGACTTCAACCTTCTCAAGATGCGCTAAGAAATTACAATAGCAATGGTACTGGCACCGGAAAAAATTAGAGGGAAAGAAGACGTGGAGCGCCGTCATCGTGCGACTGGTGTACGCCGCGCCAGATGGTCGACTCCGTGAAAAATGTAGTGCCTCCAATGAGCTAAACAAAGCAAAGAAAGGAAAGAGATAAAACAATTAATGGAGCAGGTTTGTCATGAGGAGGAATGAATCGAATATGCGCTGGCATTCGAAATTGACGGAGGAGAGCGGTTCCTGAGTAGGAAGAAGGCAAGTATACCGGTGACGCAAGAAGCTTCGCTACCAAATATGCGCAGGAACGAACCTGCTCAGAAGAAACGCGGGTCAGCGTATATACAAAGGCCGACTCACGCACAAGACGGTGGACGTGGTCCGGGCGAACGAGCGGCGCTGCAAGTTCACGTGGCAGGACACGCGCTCCTTTAGAAGTCTTACAAACACACTCGTCAGCCCTCTTAGTTACGTCTTCCAAAAAAAAAGAAACAGAGAGCATCCGTCTATGCAGTTTTTCAGAATCGGGCAGATGGATAGCTCTAGAGATAGAAAGAAAAGTTGAGCGGTTCTAAGCCGCAGATGACTCTTCTTACGACCTGCTCTTATTTCCTTACAGCCCCCCTCCCATTTCGCTCTCCTGGTCTGGCGGGCACTTTACGAGAGCTAAACGACGTCGGCGTGCCCTTGGCATTGAGCAGCGCGCGACCACCGGTGGCCCACTCTCTAGTGCGGCAGAGCGCCCAGCGAGCGCGCAAATTGAAGGCTGTACGGCAACCGAGTGACCCGAACTGCTCGCACGCTGGTCAAGATGAGAGAGCGCGCTCCACCGCTCGGCGTGTACTACATACGCCGCGGAATCAGATCCGCAGGGAAAGAGATGTCGGGCAAGCTTGCTTCTGCGATGAATCGAGCGCGCCCTCACTCGCCGCTGTCTACACCGAGCGGGGCCTTGGGGTTGCGAAAGGCGGTTCGTGCCATATAAGGCAATCGTGCGCGCGTCATTAAAGCCGATGGCTACTCCCTTTCAGCGAGTTAAAAAAAGAACTGAAACCGATTACTGGCGGCTCGAAGCTACCTGTCGTCGCCGCGTTGTGTTTCACGGTAAGTGTTTCTGTATACGTACATATTTATTGCGCTGAGTACAAGTATAATGCGTTAAGCGCGTAAATTCGCTGCCTGCACGCGACGTATACACGCCAAAAGGACACGCCGTAT